CATCGGGCTCCCTGCTCGGCAGGGAGTCTGCTTCTCCCTCTGACCCTCCCCCCTCTCATGTGCTCTCTCTCTCTCTCTCTCATTCTCTCTCTGTCAAATAATAAATAAAATCTTTAAAAAAAAAAAAAACCGACACCGAGCCAGAAAAACTGCCTGGGAAGATGTAGAAGTAACCTGTTGGGGAAAACACAGCCTCAAAGTATCACCCCACAGGTAAGTTACTCATTACAAAGAAAAGCTGTCCCCTTACAACGAAGAGCCCCGCTGGGCACTCGCTCTTACGGGCTAAATTGCATCCCCCTGCAATTCATATGTTGAAGCCCTAAACCTCAGGACCTCAGAATGTGGCTGTATTTGGAGACAGAGTCTTTAAAGAGGTGACTGAGTTCATGAGGCCATTAGGATGGGCTCTATCCAATCTGTCCAGTGTCCTTATAAGAAGAGGTCATTTGGACACACAAAGAGACACCAGGCAAGTAAGGACACGGTGACAGGGAGGCCGTCTGCAAGGCAACGAGAGAGACCTCGGAGGAAACCAAATCTGCTGACACCTTGATCTTGGCCTTGCAGCCTCCAGAGCGCTAAGACAATACATTTCTGTTGTCCGAGGCACTCAGCCCGTGGTAGTTCGTTACGGCAGCTGGAGAGACTAATACACCGCCTTAACCACGGGATCTGACTCTGTATCACTGACGGTGGGACAGACTGCGGCCCCATGTCTCCTGGTGTGAGACACTGAGAAGCCCACAGCGTCACCACTGGGGTGTTCCCGCCGAAACACACAACCTGATCTGATCCGGAAACAGCCAACAAACACGGAACGTGGGGCATTCGACAAAACATCGATCCTGTCCTCTGCAAATGTCCACATCCCCAAACGTGAAGCCAGATGGAGAAACGAACTCAGGTCAGAAGACACTAAAGACATCTGACTTTGTCCGTGCGGGCTGCTACACTAAAATACCATGACCTTGGATGACATGCAAATGACAGCAATTTCTCTCTCACAGTTGGAGGTTGGAAGCTGGAGGCTGGAAGTTGAGACGAGGGTGCCTGTGTTGTCCAGCTCCAGGGAAGGCCCCCTTCCTGATGGAAGGGGCCCACAAGCTCTCTGGAGTCCCTTTTATAAAATCATCCATCCCAGTCATGAGAGCTCAGCCCTCATAACCTCAGCACTCCCCAAGGGCCCTCCCTTCTAATGCCATCACACTGGAGGCTAGGATTGCAATGGATATATTTTAGGGGAACACAAACATTCAGACCATGGCAAGACCTGCCAGCTAAACGCAGCAGGTGATCCTGCACCGAATATTAAACAAGTGAACAACAAGAACAACAGCTCTCAAGCGTATTTGGGGGAGGGGGGGAGGGCCTGGCTGGCTCAGTCGGTGGGGCCTGCGACTCTCGATCTTGGGGTCATGAGCTCGAGCCCCACGTTGGGTGTAGAGATTGCTGAAAAATAAAATCTTTAAAGAAAAAGAATATTTGGGGGTTAATGAGCATATGGATTTAATATCAGATAATGCCCTTGGAGGAATATTAAGTTTCTAGAATGTGGTGATGGTATTATGATTATATAGCTCCTACATTGTAGGTAAACATCCTTGTTCTTGAGGGACACACACCGAAACATTCTGGGCGAAGTGTCATCCTATCTCCAATTGACTTTCAAATCTCCCTCTATAAATGTCTATATAAAGGGAGAGAAAGATATGAAGCAAATAAGGCAACAGACATGTTTACTGCACTATTCTTGTCTATTGCATGTAGATTTTAAATTTTTAAAAAGAAAAAGATGGGATACAAAGTTGAAAAAAAAAACCCTATCAGGGGCGCCTGGGTGGCTCAGTCGTTGGGCATCTGCCTTCGGCTCAGGTAATGATCCCAGGGTCCTGGGATCGAGTCCCACATCGGGCTCCCTGCTCAGCGGGGAGTCTGCTTCTCTCTCTCCCTCTGCCCCTCCCCACCTCTCTCTCAATCTCGCTCACCCTCTCTCTCTCTGTCTCAGATAAATCAATAAAATATTTTTTAAAAATCCCATCAATTGGAAAAATAAACAAAATCCTTAAAGATAAATAAGGGGCTATGAAAATGCCCCTCAATGCATCACCCTTGCCCCATTCCTGAAAATCCGGTGATGGAATATACATTTCAAAGTAAACCATTCTTTTAACCAGAACGTTCTGCCCTGCGTGCTGCTTTTGGCCACAATATCTGGAGCCAAATCAAATAACAACCACCTCGCTGAGTAAAGAGGGAGCCTCTCCTCTGGTGCTGGTCCACCTTCCTGGTTTCCTCATAGCATCCTGTGGGAGCTGGGAACTCCAACCCCATTTTACGGATGAGGAAACCGAGGCCAGCAGAAGCACTGGACTTGCCTCAATTCATACAGCTGGTAAGACTAAAGCCCACGTCTTTCTGACTCTGAAATGCATATTTGTAACCACTATGTTGACTGCTTCCTGCAGGGTGGCGGAAGGACGGGATTGCTCTGTTAGTAAACCTATGAGGACAAATCCCATCGAGGGAGAGGAGGAGGGAAGCAGGAGACCTCATATGAAGGAGTTTGGACCTGGGGAGGGTGGTCAAGGAAGGCTTCCCGGAGGTGGGCTGAGGCCTCACGGATGAGTACGAGGTGACCAGGCTTCAGGAGGAGAGCACTGCAGGCAGGAGGAACAGCATGGGGAAAGGCCTAGTGGCTGGAGGGTGGCGACTGAGGAGGGGCTGGCTGGGAACTGGCAGCAGGAGTCAGAGAGAGCCTTAGAGGCACAGGCAGAAGCTTGGGCTTCCTCCTGAGGGCACTAGGGAGCCAAGAGAGGGTTCTGAGCAGGGGAGTAGAGCGGATGTATAACTCAATAGGACCCCTCCATCTGCCTTGTCAGGGGAAATTTAGAGGACACTGGGAGCCAATGGCCAGGGAGCAGCTTGGGCCAGAACCCGGGGCTAGTGGAATGATCAGTACCCAATTCAGACTCAATAAAACTTGGGCAAAGATCCAGAAGCACACGAAGGCTCTGTATCGGGGAGGTGCAAGGAACCAGGCGTCTCAGACACCAGCTAGGAGAAACAGTCATGGGTACAACGCTCACAGAGGGCAATTTGGCAATATCTATCAAATTACCTTTGACCAGCAATTCCAACTCCAGAAGTTATTTGCATGACATGAAGGAAATACTAGATGAACTGAGTCGTTCTCTACAGTTTTGCTCAAAAGCGGTGACGGGAAACAACCTAAATACCCACCAAGAGAGGACCTGCACAGTGAATTAGCACCCACCCATGCAATGGTTCAATGGTAGAGAATGGGACAGCTTTAGATAGGCTGATTTTAGCTGAGCTCCAAACTACATTCTTTTTAAGATTTTTTAATTAATTATTTATTTATTTTTAAAAGATTTTATTTATTTATTTGTCAGAGAGAGAGAGCACACACAAGCATGGGGAGTGGCAGGCAGAGGGAGAAGCAGGCTCCCCGCTGAGCAAGGAGCCAGATGCGGGACCTGGGATCTTGGATCATGACCTGGGCTGAAGGCAGACGCTTACCCGACTGAGCCACCCAGGCGCCCCAGATTTTTTTTTTATTTTTAAGTCATCTCTACACCCAACGTGGGGTTCGAACTCACAACTCTGAGATCAGGAGTCACATGCTCTCC